TTAAATCAGATCAAGCCTAATTAGTTGTGTTTAATTCTTTCTAGTTGATGTATTTAAAACCTGTCTGACCTAACTTTGAAGAGCTGACATGTTTTTCCTTGAACTAAAACTTTAATCTGATCCAGTTTTTCTGATTTGGTGAGGTCTGAAATAGTCTGATCGGATAGATGTTTGGTCTACATGTACTTTATAAGTATCAAAGTCTAGTTTGTTTAAATCTAGTCTAGACTTTTTAGTCTATTTAAGTCTAAAAGGAAAGCGGGGCAATAATTTTGGGACGGATGGAGTATTAGAGCATCTTCAATGGTATAATGTGCACGGTGCACACGTGGCATGAGAGATGACCACATAAATATTAGTAAATAAATTATTTCTCTCCTTATTTGAATGATTTTATACAGTTTTGGTAAGTTTTTCTCCACAATGTCAAGGAGACCGTCCAATTTTGACATTATTGTTGACATTGCAGGGAAAAACTTACCAAAATTGTATAAAATCATTCAAATAAGGAGAGAAATAATTTATTTGCTAATAATTATGTGCCTATCACTCATGCCACATGTGCACCGTGGACATTATAGCATTGAAGATGCTCTTAGCTGTTAATCTATTATTACTAAATATATACGGAGTATATATTTACAATAATAAATCTAAAACATCAAACTAGATCAAAATAACAACAATCAAAATAAAATCAGCAAATCCATTCAAATAGCAAAAATCCGGAGAGGTATTAAATTTACCATTAAGCTTTAATAACGCCTTCTCCAATTTAAATTGACAACCCGAGCAACAAGTGATCTGACGTCTACTTTTCGCACGCAAATCTGTTACGTTTAACGCAAATTATATCGTGCAACCGGGCGCATCACCAGGATGGTGCGCCCGGTTGCAAAACGACGGAGTATTGAGGCCTGGTTTCTTTATTTTTTATCCTTTTGTTTTTAAAAAATGGTAATAACTTTTTTTATTTTTGATCCGATTTTTATAAAATTTATATCAACATTTTTTATTTTTCATGATCTTTCAAATGAGACCAATATTGCTTGTGTAATTTTAAGAAATTATCGAACTGTTATATTAATGTGTATTAGGGCTGGGTCCGAAAAACCGAAAACCGAAAACCGAATCAAATAAACCCGAACCGCAACCAAATAAAACCGAATCGCTAAAAAACCGAAACCGAATGTAAAAAATCGAACCGAACCGAAGTTATTCGGTTCGGTTTTGGTTTTTACCCTTCAAAACCGAACCGAACCGAACAAACCGAACTATTTAAAATATGAAATTTATATGTTAATTGTTAAGCATTAATTCTAATTAATCATAATATCATCACTAGTCTTTGGTTTTCTTGTGTTAGAGAAATAATGTTTGTGTTATGTTTAATTTGATTTATTTTATAAATTCATTTACACATTCATTGTCTGTAATAATAGCTATATTGAATGATGATCATATGTGTTTACTAGTTATTAGTAGTAATTAAATTTTATTTTTAGATAACTTAAAGATTTTATATTGATAAAACAATAAATATTAATCTCAACTATATCACATAGAACATATATATTCATGAAAAATTTTCAAACTACTCACAAACAAATTAAATCAATAATATATACAGTTTTATCTATTTCGCATACTCATATAATTCATGACATATTTATCTCTTCTCATTTTTATTTTATTTGTCGTTGTATTGTGCTTGAATTCTTTATGTAATATGTTTGATCCCTCTAAGTATTATATCAATTTTAAATCAAGTGAAAAAATTTTGGTAAAAAAACCGAAAAAACCGAAACCGAACCAAAACAAACCGAACCAATCAAACCGTGGTTCCAAGTTTTGGAGTGTAAAACCGAACCGAAACCGAACCGAACTTTTTACTTTGATTCTACATTTGGTTTTAGGTCAAAACCGAACCGCAAGAACCGAACCCACCCCTAATGTGTATTGGATTATAAGGAAAACCAAACAAAATTTAATACACAAAAATAATTGTGTAAATCAAAATTTATCTTAAAACTGTGTATATAAAAATTTATTGTATTAGGTATTTATACATGTGAGTTACATATTTTTATATGTGAAGTTACATATTTTTACATGTAAAGTTACATATTTTTACACGCGAGTTACATATATATACACACGAGTTGCATTTGACTTGCCTGAACGCGAGTTACATATATTTACACGTAAAGTTACATATTTATATACACGAGTTGCATTTGACCTGTCTGAACGCGAATTACATATTTTTTTAAGTAAAGTTACATATTTTTACTTGTAGAGTTACATATTTATACACACGAATTGCATTTGGCCTGACTGGACGTGAGTTACATATTTCTACACATAAAATTACATATTTTACATAGGTTAATATAATAGTTCAATAATATGTTAAAATTACATAGGCAATATTGGTCTCATTTGAAAGATCATAAAAAATAAAAAATGTTGGTATAAATTTTATAAAAATCGGATCAAAAATAAAAAAGTTATTACCATTTAAAAAAAAGAGAGAGAAATAAAAAATAAAGAGTTGGTGCTTGCCAAATACGTTGCTTGCCAAAAACCGTATGCCGGTATACGGTGCTCACCGTATACCGGTCATACCGTATAACAACTGTACGTTTAAACATCATTGTTGAGGTTTATTCCTTCAATCCTTGGACCCAACACGTAAGCCCAAAGATTTCGAGTGGAGTGAGTGGATATCTAGCCCAACAACTATCAGATGGATCAGGAAAACAAAAGTAATAGCAGGCAATGTAAATAGGTATTATTAACTTCGTAATAACTCCCCTAAGTACAATCTACTTGCTAAAGAGGCACGTCGGCCGCTCGTCTTACAAGGCACTTAGAAATGCTGCGAGTAAGAATGCTGAAGCTAGTATGCTAAGAATAGAAAGTTGCCAACCCTTTACAATGAAATAAATGCTTCTATTTATACCCGCCAATGGGCAGGTAGCTGTACTGACGTGGCAGCCTGTGGACCGCTGGTGTCCCAACTACCAAATCTTTAGCATTAAATGCACTTCCCGCCAGAATCTAGGTTTCCCGCCGGATCAGTGGGGACGTTCGTCCACCCGGGAAGCGAGTTGGATTGCTCCAAGTGACCCTTGAGGGATATTGGCCGTTCGTCTCCTGGCCTTGATAGATACTCACCATGTCCACTGGGTTTCCTCCGATGACTACAGGCTTGCTCTGGGGACGTTCGTCGCCATCCCTGGTGGCCCGTGGCTCTACTCCTTGTCCCTGCATAGACGTTCGTCGGAATGAGTTGCTGGGCCTGAGTCCTCCAACACCAGACGCTCGTCCATCCTTAAAGAACATGGGCCTGTGGGCTGGCCTAGTTTCTAGCTGGACGCTCGTCTGGCAAAATGGGTTAGCGGGCCGGACCTCGGCTTGGGCCCTTAACCCAACACAAGTCCTCCACTTCTGATGTTCTGAGCATGCGCAGGACATAAGGAAGTATGAACCCCCCCGAAGTAGACGTCCGTATCTTGGTACTTGTGTTCATTGCATCTTGGTGGGAACGTACGCTCGTGGCCACGGTGCTTGACAGCTGTTTGACGGTTCAGGAAACGAGGTGACGGCTGATGTTACGGCGGCGCATTTTCCCGAGGAAGTGTCATCATTACGTTCCCATCCCACGCACAGCGCGTGGGCCGGAATACGCCCCTTGCCACGTGTCAGCCCCTCGTTGGTTTCTCCATCGGTGTTTCCCCTATAAATGCTGGGTTTGCCCTCTGAATTAGGGTTCCCAATTTTTGCTTTCTTGCCCTCGATTTTCCGCAACTCTTCAAGTTTCCTGAATTCGGCCAACCATACCTTTGTAAGGTAATTTCCCCCCTCTGCTTCTTTCCTTTACTCTGATTTCTAGCCGGAATGACTTCGATGGAGATTTCCTCAAGTTCTGATTCCGGTTCGTCGGGTTCCTCCTCGGGCTCCTCTTCTGAAAATGCCAATGCACGCTCCCTGGGAAAAACTAGTGTTTCCGGAACCTCTGGTTCGGCCACGACGGTGGGGACCATCCGGGCTGATGGCGAGCCGGATGATGTGTCCCAAGATAGTGGGAGTGACGCCAGGGGTGGGGATGCCGATGAGGCAGTGGACGTTATTGATGCGGTCCCTCTGAATGAGCGTCCTGCTGATTATGATTCCGGAGAGGAAGCCGAATCCGGTTCTGATGTGGAGGTGTACGATCTGGGCATCCCCACGGATATGGAGCGTCACATCTGCCCGATTAGGAGCGCCCTTGACCACGACCAAGTCCTCTCTCGCGTGGCCCTCAATAAAATCCGCACCTTCCTTCCTCCGCCGTTCGTCTGGAGCGTGAAAGGCGCTGAGCATGTGATGAGGAGACGTCCGGGGATGATCATGCTCCACCTGGATTCCGTTGAAGCCGGGCTGCGGTTTCCACTTCATACGTTTTATGTGGAGTTCTTCCACTGCTTCCAGGTGGCTCCGGCGCAATTCATGCCAAATTCTTACAGATTCATATCGGCCTTCTTGGTGCGCTGTAAACTCGCGGGGGTCGATGTCACTTTGGAGCTCTTCCATTATTTCTACCGCGTCACTCCTCAGAATGCCGACGGGTATCTGAGCGTGGCCGCACGTCCTGGGAGGCGGCTGTTCAAGAACTACCCCTCGTCCATCCACGACTGGAAGAACCGCTTCTTCTTCCTTCGGTACGACGGGCCTCCCCTCCCTCTCCGGTGGAATGGGTATCCCCCAAAGATTGAGTCACCGGAGCCGACCGACGATCTGCTTTTGGATGCGGAGAAGGTGTCGGAGGGTGGCGTCCGTCCCATAGCCGGATTTCTGACCTTCGAGGCACTCTCTGGGGCAGGCATAGGTACCGCCCGTGTTCCTGGACTTTTTCTACCCTTCGACGCTCGTCTCGGGGCCCGGGCGGTCCTGTCCTTCGAGGTGAGTGTCTTATTTTACTTCCCGCCCGGCTTCTAATCCTTGTTGTTTCTTGCAGGTCCACCGCCCGATAGAGACCAAATGAATCACGCCGAGTGTCTGAAGACCAGGAAAGCCAAGGCGGCCGCGGCTAAAGCTGCGATGGCGAAAGCCAAGAACGCCCCTGCCTCGGAGTCCCACTCCTCGGCCTCTGATGCTGCCAGGCGAACCGCCGAGGGTGAGCAACATTTAATCGCCACTATGCTGGCCCAGGGTTCCGGGGCCCCTGCTCTCGAAGCCGCCCTTCCGCCGCCGGTCGTCCCCACGAAGACGGCTCCTCAGAAGGGGACAGAGAAGGTCCCTGAGAAGAAGCAGAAGAGGGGCCGTGAGGCAGCCTCCTCCGGGCCTCTGCTCGAAGACGCCGGCTCTCTGCCACTAAGCCGGCCGGCGGAAGACCTCTGGAGGGAGATGGCCCTCAATGCCGGTCTTGAGTTGCCCCGCCGTTCGTCGTCTGAGGCGACCAGTGCTGCCCTGGCCGCCGCTCTTCAGGTATTCCTTCTTTACCAGATCTGAACACACCTTTCCCTTGACGTTCATCCTCTAATTATTTTTCCCTTCTGTCATCCAGTCGGGGCTTCTAGTCCTTCAGGCTGAAGCCGCCAGGGAGGCCGATCTGAAGGAGGCCAAGGCTAAAGCTGATGCGGCCGTTGCTGCGGCACGGGAGGCCGCCCGTCGAGCTGAGGCGGAGGCCGCAGCCAAGGGGAGGGAGATTGCCGCCCTGCAGGCTGAGTCTCACAGCCAGTTGGCCGGCCTTGAAAGAGCCGGTTTTAAGCTTGTTCCGGTGCTCCCTGCCGCCAAGGATACCACTCCGGAGTGGTTGGTTGACACCTCCGGCTATCGGAACACTGGGGAGTTTATGGACTCCGCCAAGGACTACTGCGCCGGGGTCTTCGCCGATTTGTTCGCCGCAGCTCTGGAGAAGATTCCGCCCCGCCAGCGCCTGGCCCGCGGCGTCCGGATCCTTGAGGGCTCTCCCCTGTCTCGCAAGTTCCTATATGAGGTCGGCGACAGCACCTTCGCCGCCGGCTACAATGAAGGGGTAAAGGCCACCCTACCCACATTCGCCAAGCTGCTGGGGCCCGATTTTGACTTGGCGGCCAACACGGATGACGATCTCTTAATCCAGGCGCTAGGGAAACTGAGGAGGGATCAGCGCCGGGAGGAGGCCAAGGCCAGGGGGGAGATTCCAGAGCCGCCGACCCCCGAGCCTGAGGAAGAGGAGGAGGAGCCGAACAAGGGCAGCAGCCGCCCAGGGTCCCCTTTCTTTGTATAATGTCGTTTACATTTTTCCATTCCAGCTATTGTAATGTCCGGCCGTAAGTGCCGAAGAATACAGACGTCTTTTTGCCCATAATTGTTCTATGTTCATGATTTCTGCCTTGTTATTTTCATTCCCTTTGTCCTTCGTTGTATGGAAAATCCTTTCGGCGGCCCGACACGCCTTGTAGCAAGGTCAGAGTCCGAGAGGACGTTCGTATCTGACCTCTACTTGTTTCCAGGCAGAAAACGTCCCGAAGTCAAACCCCCGTACGTACTCAACGTGTTCTGACAATGGAGCGACGCTCGTCAGCGGTTTATGGTGCATGCTCGAAGTGTAGACATAGGAACGTATTTCTCAGCACCAGCACTTGATAACGATATCCGTCCGTCGTCGCATGATATGAACATTCGCAGCGCGGGACGTTCGTCTGTTCTGCGTGTTCATCTGTCATGAAGTGTGGAAAGGCGATGTTCATCCCCCGTGCACCGCTAATGGACGTGATTCTTCCTCCATCCTTTTTGTGTCCATTGTTTGTAGTATAAGGAATCATTCCGGCGCCTCGACACATCTTTACCGCCCACGCGGTATCTTGACCATGGGAAGACGTTCGTCGGTAGCTGTCTTGTCAGTATGCGTCTCGAGTATGGACGTACGGGTTGTATTTCACTGAAACAGCGCTTGGTGACGACGCTCGTCTACAGTTGCGTGACGTGAAAAACTGGAGTACCGCAAGACGGACGTAGCCGGTTGATGCGTGTGCCCTCATCAGCCGCCAACGCTAGGGTCAGCCGGGGGATTACGGAAGCAATGGAAGGCGAATGTCTCCAAATTCCTCGGAGCCGGTGAGCCCTCCTCAAGGGACGTCCGTGGCACGGGCCCGGATGTCTTGTGATGGTTATGCGGCGACAAAATCGAGACGCCTTAAATACCGTGGTAGGTACCGGTACCCAGGTGCCACGTGTCCCGCTTCGGTTGGGGCAATTCTGCGGTGTTGCCTATAAATACCTAGGGCCCAAGTGATCCACTCACATTTCTCCTTACGCTGCTCAATTGTTTTCTCTCTCTAGATTTCTCAAATACCAAGATCGGAAATCTCGAACCCCAAAGGTACCGTTCGTTGACATGTCTTCCGAAAGTCGCTTTGACGATGGATGTTCTTCCGGTGATGACCTGGAGTATTATGAGCGGGGAATGCCACCCCGGCCTCCCCGTTACAGCCTTAACTTCTCATGCGTCCGGCGTCAAGTTCAACGCCTGACGAACGCTGACAAGCGGCTGATCAGCCAATGGTTTTATCCCCCAAGGACCTACGACGATCGGCGTCTACGAAACCCCATGCGCCACCTGCCCGGCTATGTGGTGGTCCACCTAGATTCGGTGATAGCCGGGCTGAACTTCCCCCTGCACAGCTTCCACTTGGAACTTTTCAGGGCCCTTGAGATTGTTCCTGCGCAGCTCGTCCCCGCCGCTTATCGGATAATCGCTGGCTTCATCATTAGATGCCACAGCGTCGGTGTGACCCCCACCGCGGACCTGCTGCACCACTTCTTTCGTCTGTCCACCTTCGGACGTACAGGGTATTTAACCCTGACTGCCCGTCCGTCCATGGTTCTGTTCTCGAACAACGCTGGGAACCCAGACGGTTGGGAAGAGCGCTTCTTCCTGGCCGGAGTAGGCTCACCGATGCCATTCTCTGATCGGTGGAATGCCTACCCTGTGAAGACGATCCCGCCGCCCATGACGGACGAGGAGCTTGGATATGCCAAGCGCATAGCCGGACTTGGCATCCAGAACCTCCGGTTGCTGGTGGCCGAGCCCTTCAAAGCTCAGGCTGGATTAGGTGTGTCCGTTTGTACTTGTATTGTTTTAACCTCTCTTCGCTGTTATGGTTCTGAACGTCTTGATCCCCTCTATGCAGGAGTTTTCCCACCCACGTCCATCATGCGCCGAGATAATACCGCTCCGTCTGCCGCCGGTCGTGGGCACAAGGGGCATGACAAGCCCGGGAAGCCGCTCGTCCCCAAGGTTGAAACTCGGGTGATCAGGGCCCGGACTGAGGATGATTTGGGCGCCGGCGTCTCCAAGAGGCCGCGCGTCGAAGGTACAGCCTCCAAGGCCATCATAGTAGCCGACGACTCTGATGGTGAGCCCGGGAGCCCCCTTAAGCGGAAACCTGTCTCTCGGGGCAAGTCCCGTCCTTCTCCCCCACGAACTTCTGATGTTCGTCGTCTCCGGGATGATGATGCCCAGGTCGCTAAGGGTTTTGACGATGCTCGTCCTCCTTCGCCCCCACAAGCCAATGGGTCCTCCCTTGGTTTGATTGAGTTCTCCGGGGTTGGTCCACGCAAGGAGTCAATGATGCTCTTTGGTCAAACAGCATCCTCTATATGGTGCGGCCTGAATCTCAAGGTCCCCCAGGACTTCGCTGCTCAGGAGGCACCCGAGGACCTTCTGGAGTGTGGTCAGAGCACTTTGGACAAAGCCGGGCTCTACTTCCACAGGGCCCGGATGGCCTTCGAGCATCAGGGCAGGGAAATGGCCAGGGTCCGGGCCGAAAGCGACGCCCTTCTGAGGAATGCAAAAGGCAGGGCCGGCACTCTTCAAGAGAAAGCCGATGCCTACGATAAGCTCGTCCAGGAGAATGCCTCTCAGAAGGAGCTCCTCAAGAAGCAGGAGGCCGAGCTCGTGGATCTTCGCAGCCGGATGTGGGCCGTGGAGCAGGCCAAGGTGGAACTCCGCCAGACGGGCGTGGACAACCATGTCCCTATTTATGAGGCCGATGTTGCCAAGATCAAGGAGTCTGGTTCCATTGCCTTTCAGAAGTCCAAGGCTTATACTGGCGCCATCCACACCATGGCTATGAAGTTCCTCCCGCGGCTCGTTGGCGAGTTCCTGGCCACCTGCCCGGATGCCTACCAGGATGGGGTTAAATTGCTCCAGGCCACCCCCACCGGACGTCGTTTCCTTGACGATCTCGCCGATGACACCTACCGCAAAGGTATGGTTGGGCTAGTAGTGGAGAATCTCCCGACGTTCGAGCGTCACTTTGGGGCTCCCTTCGATCCGGAGGCGGCTGGTTTTGACGTCTTGATGGCAGACGCTCATGCAGGGGCCCTCGAGCTGCTGAAGGAGCAGGCGGAAGCCAGAGCCAGTGAAGAATGCAAGCAGGCTCTTTCCAAGGTTCCAGCTCCGGACGTCGATCAGAAGTGATTCTCCGTTCATGACCTTGTACTTGTACAATTTTTCCCATTATTTTCATTGTCTTGTAATCTCCCGGTCAATAGTACCGAAGAATAAAAGAATCATTCTTTGCTCCTTGCTCTTCCGGCTTTTTTTTTTTTTTTTTTTTTTTTTTTTTTTCTAGAGTCTTTTAGTCTTCGTTCGTCCTTGGTCCCTGGTCCCACCGGCGTCCCTACTTCGAGGAGACGTTCGGTGTCCGCCGACATCGCAAGGATGAACGGGTTTATCTACATCGAGATTCCCCCCTTTTCGTTCGTCCGTGGTCCTTTTAGCCTTACCGACGTCTCTTGCTTTGAAGAGGACGTTCGGTACCCAAGGACTCGCAGGGACGAACAGGTCTACCCTCACGGGTCCCCGACTTTGTTACCCCACGTCCATCGATCCATGGTCATTTGTGGGATAAACAGGTTTATCTTGGCAGGCTCCCTTGGTTCGTCTAGCCCCCACCGCGTCTCTACTAACCTCTACACCGAGAGGCGTTCGTCTTCGGCGGTTGGAGAAGATCTGGCACACCCGGGCAAGATTCCCTTCTACATAGGAGCTCCTCTCCTCTTCTCCCCATTTTTTTTTTTTTTTTTTTTTTGGTGGAGGCAATCCATACTCTTCGTTCGTCCTTGGTCCCTGGTCCCGCCGGCGTCCCTACTTCGAGGAGACGTCCGGTGTCCGCCGACATCGCAAGGAGGAACAGGTTTATCTATATCGAGATTCCCTGGTGCTTCGTTCATCCTTGGTCCCTGGTCCCACCGGCGTCCCTACTTCATGGGGACGTTCGGTGTCCGCCGACATCGCAAGGATGAACAGGTTTATCTACATCGAGATTCCCTGGTGCTTCGTTCGTCCTTGGTCCTTGGTCCTACCGGCGTTCCTACCTCGAGGAGACGTCCGGTATCCGTAGACATCACAAGGAGGAACAGGTTTATCTGCATCGAGATTCCCTGGTGCTTCGTTCGTCCTTGGTCCTTGGTCCTACCGGCGTTCCTACCTCGAGGAGACGTCCGGTATCCGTAGACATCACAAGGAGGAACAGGTTTATCTGCATCGAGATTCCCTCCTGCTTCGTTCGTCCTTGGTCCTTGGTCCTACCGGCGTTCCTACCTCGA